ATTAAAATCGGCACGATACAATCTTTAATTTCATTTGAAATAATTATTTTGTAAAATGAAGCCAAAATTTGCCGTGTAATCTTTTATATTTTAAAATACGTAGGAATTTAAAGAACAATTTTTTATAAAATTTGCCATGTAATTTTGTACATACTAGCAGTGCGCAGTTTAAAAATGCTTCGAGATTTTCAAGAAACGTGCCACGAAGAATCTCACTGTACGTCATTCACAATGTGTGCGAAAGGTACACAATCGACACGAATAACAACGTTAATCGGCACGCCTGGCCGTTATAATCCGAGATAAATCTAAACCTACGCTGCTGATTAATCTCACTAACCATAGCGTTCAGCTCAAGCAGTGCACAGTTTCATCCGCCGGTCCAATTCTCCTGATTGCTTCAACGCGTCGCAGAACGATGTTGTTGATTGTCGATCGAAGAAAAGAACACTCGAGTCATGATCGATATCGTATCGCGAAGCTCCAATCGCTCGGCCTCAATAACTATGTTTGCGCCAGCAGAACTGACCGACCAGAACAGAAGTAAATACCATACGCCGAAGTTTCACACGGCGAATCGATCTGTAGGTGTCTAAATACGATGTATACAAGCAAAAAGAACACAAGAAAATTCCGAGGCCGCTGTCTGAAGAGCTCTCTTCTTGCTAGATGAAGTAAACTGATTTATGCATAGTTTATCTCGCTCGGTGCATCGATGCGAATAAATATTTCCATTTAAGATGCAATATAATCGAAGCGATATCGTTGATTTAAGAGCGTAAAGTAACGGGTGAATCAAAACGCGTTTATAAATTAATAAATTATTTTCTTCGAACGGTCTGAAAACTAGTTCACTAACTCACTTTGTTTCGAGCAGCTCGAGTACATCTTTCCGGCAAGAAACGTTATGTTTGAAGGCTCTCGCCGCTCATAAGTTTCTAACTGATTCACCATCCAGTCCCATATACCAGCCATATACAGGTACTATATTATCAGACGAATAATAAATCAGCGCGATGCGCACGAAGAACCAATAATTCTGCGACACCCGTTTCATTAAATAAAGCTAATAAAACCGAGTTTCGTTTAAATCATTTTCAGCGTATAATTTATGGCGCGTTTACATGGACTTCTTAAAATCGAGATGACAACCGTGCGGACGTAACTTACGGCGGGTTGCCGATTTTTCGAATCCCGCTACTTAGTCGGCCGCAAGAAAAGTGCTGCGCGTTCTGCATCATTAGCTACGCTATGCTTCGAAGTGCACTGTCGTGCCCACAGTGCAGTGAAGAAAAGTGCGTCGCGTCAGAGATCGTCACGATTTGCGGGGGAATCATCGCGCGCAGCGTAGATCTCGCTTTGAGCGCATACGGCGTGCGTTTTTTGCATCGCATCTTCACGGTAAATACATATATATTCACGGTGCGTTTCTGATAACTGCACGCAGAATGTCCATCGTCTAATAAAAAGATAATGCTCTAATGTCTCAAGCACATAATTATCTCTTTACCTTCATTAAGCACATGTAATTATCGTATATACATTTCTTTATACTTTATTTCACTCTCAATATTTATACTAATTTTCTAAGCTTTCAAGACAAATTGTGGGATAATATAAATTTTTACTCTTCTTCTTATCGTGACTCTAAAATTTCCTAAATTTTTCTTACACTCAGTTCGCGCGTGCATCCTTAGGAAATTAATCAATTCCAAACTAGTTTCCCGGGAAACTGATACGAAATTAGTTTAATGGGAAACTGACCCCTTTGGGGAAATAATCGCAGGATAAACAGACTTGGCTACTGGTTCGTCTGATTAGAATTTGATTCCACTGGGCTCGCCAAAGAACTCGCCGTTGAAATTCCATTTGGCGGACGATGACGCAGAGTACACACAACTTCGCATTACGTTAAGTGAAAAACCGCGCGGACGAATGGTTGTCGAAACCCTTTCCAGCGAGCGATCAACTTTTTGCCGGTCGCGCGCGTGTCGCCAGATTCGAGGCACGCAATAAGCGTAATCGCCTCCTCCGCCAAGTAAATTATCAGGGGCTCCTCGCGGAGGCAGCCGGTGGGAGATTAATTTCAACGCGCGCGCGCACTTTTCCCCGCTCGCCGCTCGCAAAAAGCGCGCGCCCGTATATTACGATGGTTGTGTGTGTGTGTGTGTGGTGGTGCGCGCACGGCGGATAGATAGATCCCCCATTGCCATGATCTACAGCCACGGCGGAGCAAATCGCCGTCGCGCATCACGAGCCGGGTGGAATACGTTCCCGAGGCTTTCTGCGCGTCCTTAACAGCCGAGTGACCGAGACACGTGGATGTATACGACCGCCTCCTCTTCTGCCCGCTCTATATACCCCCTTTCGTATACGCGCTGACTGCGCGAAGAAGGGAGATCCACGGTGAATCTACGCCGTGCTCTCGCACGCTTCCACTCTTATTCCCGTCCTGTCACGACCAGTCGCATCATTAGGCCATCCGGTATTACAAATGACGTTGAAGGGACTCCCCAGGCTCCTCCACCTCTTCTTTGTACCCTCGCCCTGCCTATCACTCCGTTCCTCTCTTCTTCTTATTGTTCTTTCCATCTCCGTCCCGCGCGCGCAACCGAGATGCAGCAGGCTACTCCACCGGCTACTACTCCATGCTGGAGTTTATCTCCAGCTGGTTGCCGAGTCAATCCGGCGAAATGTCGCTTTAACTGGATCGTACGGAAACCACGGCAAAAACCGGCAAGCAAGTCATAAGCATTTATGAGTTTCTTACCGGCGATAATAAGTTTGGAACGATTGCTGTTTGTATCATTGCGCAAGGTGTACTGCGCCCGTTCTTCTTCTTCTTCTACTCGATGACATTCTCGGAAGGTGCGCGCGCGCCGAGAGAAACGTAGTGCCGTATCCTCGTGCCTTATTTGCACCTTCTTTTTCACCCGGTCATTCCATGTTATTAACATGCCGATTCTGTTTTATAAGATCCATTAAACCAGGTCCGATGCCGGCGCCCGTACGACCCCGGCCGACCTCACCTACTGCCCGCTTGTATAACCGTAGGTAATAAATTTGTTTCTTAATACACATTACTGCCGCGCGGCTTCACGAGACCGTCATCGCAAGAGACGATCTGTGCGCGCCGTTCGTGGAAATTCACGCGGCACACGAATCATGATGCAGAGGCGAAAAATAAAAGAGCGACCATTCGCATTCTTTCGTCGAGATACCGGTGCGCGGTGTTTCTTCTGTCATTCCACGCGGCACGCACCGCCAACAAAACCGCGTTTATTGTAATTTTCGCAAAAAGTTCGCCGTACGGATGGCTCGGTAGCGACAGCCGTGTCAGGATAATTTAAATGTAATCTCACTACGTGCTCTTATATTACGTTCATAGTCGACATCGTTCAGCACGCGATTCACTTTGACAGCAGCAAGTAGCTCACGCTTCACGGTGGTCGAGATAAACGAAAGAAAAGGGAAAACGAGGATGAAGAGGGATGAACGTGAGAGAATCCGCACAAGAGAAGCGGGAGAGAGCAGAGGCGGAAAGCAGCGCGCGCGGGTGAACGGATGAAAATAGTGGGATGCAAGGAAAGGTCGGGCAGTGTGTAGAGATAAAGTCGTCTGCGAGAGCATAAAGCCGGCAGAAGGAGAGGACAATGCAGGAAAGGCGTTTTATTGCCACCGAGGATATGGCTTCCGCAGGATAACGACATTACGATGGCCAAAGAAATCAGTATATATATCTCCAGAAAACATATGTAGTTGATAAAAGCGTGTGGCGAATTTACAATGTATCTCGACCGACGTCGTTGTAAAGTTGAACAGTTATCGCCGTAACCAGTCCCATGGAAATAAACGTCATTCGCGTAAAAACTAACAATATTATCGCAGGAATTATATTGATCTTCGGAAATGCATGTTTCTTGAATGCAAACGCCTGAAAATTTTCAATCCATTTCTTCAAAAATATATAAAAATTGAAATTATCAATATTTAGAAAAAGTTTCACTGTAATACGAAACCAATTCATTTTTGCGAACAATTCAAAGAACGTAAAGTCTGTTGTGCTTCTCGTCTATTTCGATAATATTATTGAGTTTAGCTTGTTCTCTTCTCAATCATATTTTGCTTCTTCGTTCTTCCTTTTCATCGGTTTGCGCAGTCAATATTTTTAAAACAGAAAATATAAAGCATCTTGTGTCTTAAAAAATACATGCTTTAAATATTTACAAATCATTTAATGCTAAATCTTTTTTAGATGTCATAACAGCTACGAACATTAATCAATATAAATCATAGAAAAATAATATGTGATTAAAATAAAATGATAAGAAAATTTTTTAAATCTTATTGATATCTTATCAGTCGAATATTAAACGTAAAAAGTATAACTTTTGAAAGTTTTGGATAAAAAAACACAATATATGAAAATAAACTATTATTAATTTATCATCAACATGTACTTTGCGTCAAAAAATGAATATTTCATAATATAATATTAACTTGTTACAATATCGATTCCATTATTAGCCGAATTATTGTGGAAAGGAAAAACTAGAGTGACTAATCAATATCGCAAACGAGCGCAGAGTGGATGCTGAGGGCAGCGTACAGAAGCGACAAAACGTAAATCCAAAAAGACGAGAAAGGAGAACGAAGAAGACGTGAAAAAAAGGAGTACGTGAAACGCGACGCGATTCACAAGGTTGCGACAAGGTAAACTCAACTAATGTTGTCGGGACGGACGAGGAGCACAACCGACCAACCACCAACCAAGCGACCAACCAGAGAACGGGATGAAGCTAAAGCTAAAAGGCAAGTCAAAGCAAGTCGAGAAGAGCTAGGTCGAGGCGAGGCAAGGTAAAGGCAAGTAGAGACGGGGGTAAGGCAAGGCGCATTGGCGAGGCATGCTAAGGCAACGGGTCCAAAGTCGCCGTCGTGCCTCGGTGCGAGGCCCCGGTGGCGCGTTAACCTCCCGCTCGAACGCAGTACGCTCTCGACTCTCGCGCAGGCCAGGTTGCACCAATCCCGTCGGTCGATCCGCCGACCACGTGCTGCATCCCGCCGACAGGCGAGAAACCGCGAAGAGGAAAAGTCACGGAGATTCGATCGCGCGCACGTGCCCCACGTGCACTCGCGACGACTGCCGCGCCGCGAGACGATAAAAGAACATTTTTTTTTTTCTAAAGACTTCCGCGACGGGTGCAACGTGCCTTGTCGTGAAACGCATTTTCGATCAATCCACGCGCTTCGATGATCACTGAAAGTCAGCGAGATACGATAGTGCGAATCAAGATCACAGTAAGCGAGTCGAGTTGTTCTAGTTTCCGAGATCGATCTCCCGTGTGTTTCGCTGCCGTGGGAATTCAATTTTCAAGTGCACGAGATGATAAGTCCGCGGGAAGCCACGGTGCTCGGGCGGAGGGCACGAGTTAAAACGGATGTCGTGAATTAATTGGCGGGAGATTCCGATCGCGCTTTCAGATTCGGCCGGGTAGCAGGTTACACCGGGTGTAACACACCGTGACGCCGGCGGCGAATTTCATTCCGAAGCATTTCTCACGTCCGCGAAATCAGTCCGGCCGCGCGCGGAACGCGATGATTAAACGAGGCGCGCTGTCATTCCTAACTGAGCGTTCCACTTTCCGCACGTGAAACTCACGGGACGAGGCGGAAATGAATGCGAAATGATCGCGTCAGTGTACGACCCGTGTAACCTTCGGTTCTCACCGCAGCCAAAGCGTAATCGCGGTGCGATAACCTTTGAGCGGGGCGTTCAAAAATTTTCACGCTTCGGCGAGTCGCGGCGAAAAAGAGGAATCGATCAGAAAAAACACTCGGCGCTCGAAGATCAATCGACCGGTACGGGACGGAATAATTGAATTATCGAAGGAAAAAAATCGTTTGGAGACACAGGAGAAAGCGGGTCGTCCTGCAGGACGACCATACATGGTTGCCGTCTGCCTACGAAGCCGAGGAAGAAGCGGGAGCGCGTCGTCGTCGCGTGGGAGGTCGAGCCATCGTGCGCGACGCTTTTTACGCGAAGCAAAGCGAAGAGACAGATTCGTGCGCTCGCTCCGGAACCTACACGCGGACGGAGCAACTGTTTAAGATCTCGCCGATCTCTTCAGTTACGAGCGCGACTGCACGGATTTTGTGTGTACGGATCTTCCAGGAACGCCGTGATCGGCGCCGATCTCTTTCTTCGACGCGTCGCGAGGACGCATGGCGAAAGCAATCGACAGATCAATCCGGAGGGGAACCTGATTCGAAGCAAGTTTGCGCCACCAAGTAGCCAGCGCAGTTCGAATAATTATCTGCAACTAGTTCGTTAAAGAGCAAATCGTGACTAAATCTTCACGTGAGTCGAATCGCCGTAAGTAAACGAGATTGAAAACCCATTCGACGAGCGAAAGAGAGACAGAGAGAGAAAGAGAGAGAGAGAAGAGAAAGAACGGCAAAAGGAGAAGAAAATAAGATGAAAATGTATGAACGGGCTGTGAATGTACGAACCGCTTGGGAAAATGCATAAGAAACTATTATATCGCGGGAAAATCGTATGCGAAATGAAGTGAGCCGCATAAGACGCGCAACGTCGATCCGTATCAGCGTCTACGCTCTCAACATGCAGTCGCGGTCGGAGTGTATTATCGGCGAGCGCCGCTTGCAGAGCCGGAGCCTCGCGAAATAAACTGCCGCGTACATACGTCGCTGTCGTTGCGCTCGTGACAAACGCGCGCGACGAATGAGAAGTTCCGCTACGGGTAAAAATAATAATAGGGAGGCAGAAGAAGAAGACGAAGAAGAAGAAGAAGAAGAAGAAGCAGCAGCAGCAGCATGCCGGTCGCGGGCACGAGGAGATTATGCAGAGTGGGACTCGCCGTGGTCTTAGTCACCGCGCTGTGCGTCCTAACTCTCCTAGACTCGCCGCCAACACGACTCCCGGATCCACCGACCGATCCTCCTCCCACGCCTGGTAAGCAATTTTCCTCCTCCGGCATCTCCGCGGAGGGCGCGAGCGCCGCGACCTTTGCCCTTTCGTTATCGGCGAACGGTCCGCCGCAACCTGAAGGCGGTAACATCGCGCATCGGCATCTAGCGGGATTTTTGCTGCGAATCGCGCAAATCGGTCGTGAGATAAAATCAAGAGAGAAGTCGACCTTGTTTCGCGTAACATGACGTCTTGTAAACTTGATTAACCTCTTGAACTCGAGCGTTTTGCTGTACAACGGTCTATTGAAACCTATTGTATTGAATCGTATTGAGTACGTTAAAATCTGTATCCCCCACTTTGTGCCTGATAACTTTTAACGCGTTATCGCGGTAAATTTATCTCGAGTCTCTTTTGTAAAAAAAGAAAATGTGTAATCGATAGATTCATTTTTCAAACTAAAACACAAACAACAGTGTATGTATCTGCATCGTTAAGCATTCTGCAAAGAATAAAAAAGTAGCTCTACTGCACATTATTATGAATAAGAAAATAAGCTTACTTAAATAATAAATTTCCACTGATCGCAATACTGTCTCAAGTATCTTAACAATAAACTTACAAGTCTGCATCATAAAAGATGTATTAGAAGTTGAGTACACGACCAAGAATAAACTTAAAAGCATTTTATGATACGACAGTTTTATGGTCTACAGTTCTGTAAAACTTGAAATTAAAACGCAGATCACGTGAAGCAAGAAACTTTTATCTTTTATCTCACTTTGCATATACAATCGCGATGTACGGAAACATGAGAAGAGTTTAAAGAAAGCAACAATGACAGTTAAAGCAATGCATTCGCGCAAAACAGCTTAATTGGCGCGTAAACCGAAGCGATTTGTTCACAGTATAAAGGGAGATTCACACGTAATAGACTTGTTCAAAGTACCCGCGAGCGATTTGTTATTCTGTGAACGCGCTATTTCCTGGTCGCGCAGATATTATAGTTTCTCAGCATTAAATCGCTATCCGCTTGAGCCGACAATAAAGAGCGGTTCCCTGCTTTTTTAAACGCATGTTCATCCCGCGTAATTGCACGGGTTCTACGTTTTCTTGTGCTAACAGAGAATATGACTACGTAAATGACTCGCTCTAAGGGCCGATACCGATCAACCCGCGCTACGCATTGCAGAAATTCAACGGAGCTCTGCACGCAGCGTGCGTACATGCTCCCCCGAGAGAAGCTAAAAAGATACGAAGATAACGCATCGAGGTGTGCGTGTGCACGTGCAAAAAAAAAACACGCTGCGAAGTTATAAATAAACCCGAAGCTTTGGTATAAAGCTCGCCAAGGACGTAAATCTCGGCGCTGGTCTTTGGTAGTAGCGACTTCATTAGTCGACGTAATTTATGATGTGATTCATCGAGTGACCGCCCGTCGACTCGTACGCTTTCGCGTAATTCACCTTCGCTTCTACCATGCAAACATTTCGCGGGAATTATGACAACCGATCGTACGGCAAACCGAGCTGCGTGTCATATATATTCATGTATACCGGCTCGACGAGCTTGTAAAATTTCTTCGGCTCGTACCAAGTCCGCGTAGACTGAGAATCAATCAGTTATATTTTAAAGCTAAACATAAATAATGAATACAAATTTAGAAATATTTTTTTACAACTAATTTCAATCAACCACGTAAAATAGCAACGATATCGGATTGATGATTAGTAATTTTTAGCCAGATAAATTGTGCAAGTTTTTGCACAACTCTTTTCGGTTGGTTGAAGGCGCCGGGGAATTTTTCTCATCGCGAACAATTCGACGACAAATCTTTGAAAACCCGGATGATTTACTTGCCGGATGCTGACTTAGCTATGTAGCCGACTAGATTCGCTCCGAGCCCTGACAGTGCGATTTCCATGAGAACGCCGCCGCCGCGCATTAGCGTATTTCTAGCGTGGTACGAATGCTTCTCTTGTGGGGCCGCGTTCGCCTTCTCGTAAACCTCGCAAAGCATGGCCGCGACGAGCGGACGGGGGAGAGGCGGGTAAAGGGCACGGAGTCACGAAGAATACTAGCGGCACGCAAACACGTAATACCACCGGCCGGCCGGTCTCGTTGGGTCAAACGCCGACTTTTAACGACACACCACGACGCATCATCATCTATCCCGCAGATACGACCCGTGATGGTTCAGTGAGATCGGACCGGTCTCGTTACCTACGCTCTCCCGGCGTCGAGATCGTCGGAGAAATAGTCCCGGGCGTCTCGTCAATAACGCTTCACGATCCATATACGTCGAAGACGAGTAATTGCAAACGAGATGAGTCACGAAACGTATATAGTGCCATAAATTTGCCCGCAGACGCCGGCGCGACGTTTTTTTCTCCGCCGTCCCGCCGCAGAAATAATTATAAATGAGAGTAACGAGAGTCCTTAAAGCTATCAACGGCATAGATTTATTATCGTTTGCTGAAGAGCTCGCAGCGCGCTTCGGACACGTCTGCAAACGTTAGCCGTACGTTTATTAGATGCACTAATGCCGCGTAGAAAAGAATGGAAATCTCGCTTCGGAAGCTTCTGCCGCGGCTCGTGACTCGAGCCTTCGTGACTGTACGGAAGAAATGAGTTTTCCTCACGGAATACAGAATAAGTGGTATGTTCGACGTTAGAAAACCTAATTAGCGGTCATGCTGATTGAATTCTGCGCATTTTCATTTTCTTTCTCTCTCTCTCTCTCTCTCTTTCCTTCTTCGCTATCCCGTGAGTATTGTTAAAGCGTCTCGCTGGAATATATAGAATCGCAATTACGAGAACTATCTGCGCAGCGCAGATAAGCGAGAACGCAATGTCGAGACGAACGTCTCAGCTATAAATATAGCGAACTGAACAAAGATAGATACGTATTCATAGTAGGTACGGCACGTTCGTGTCTAGCGCATGACGCGTCACTTCCGTCCGGTCATATAGTGTCAATGTCTTCATGTTGACTCACGATCTGCACGGCAGATAAGTTCAAGAATCGATCGACTTGAACAATAAGTTGATGTTCAATAAAACAAATATAATATTGCACTCGCGGAAATCGCGAGATGAATATGAACGATATTATCTAATTGCATGAAACTTTTGATAAGCTGCGGACAGAGTCAGCGGTACAGGTTGATATCAACAGCGGGTACTTGCTCTTATAAGAAAAACATAGCCGACTAAAACTCGTTAACTCGGATACTCTACAAGAACAACTCTATGTAGAGTGCCGCAAACTATGTGCATATTATTTGCCTTTAAATTTGCCTAATCGAATTCATGAAAAGTCCTGCATCGAAACATAATAAATGACAAGATGAGCAAAATTTATTTAATTGAACTTGATAACAGCCGTGTTCTATAACATACAAAGATAGCACTGATCTAAGCGGGAAACATTTGCCTTTATCTTAATGGAAAGATACTTGAATGTCTTTCTGATATCTTGTTTCCTCAATTATGCATCTGATAATTTGTTGCAAAGTATTTAATCCACCGTAAATTTTTATCTTCGTAAAATATTTTCTCTACATATTAAACCTTATTATCGATTTAACGTAGCAGATATTCTTAAAAAGCGCTTGGAAACAAAATACATCGCAGTATCAATATCTCGAGTTACGTCTAAATATTTTATCCGAATTTATGAATTCCACGTCAATATTTTATCCAAATTTATGAATTTCACGTCGATAGCGTTTAGTTATGAGAAGCTTAACGGATTTGGTATTGATTTTATAGAGACGCACAAAATCACAATAGTGCATTCTGCGAAAAATATATGCTATTCTTAAAAAACATCTTCTTTCAATTAATCAAAAAATGAAGAAAAAAAATTATTAAAGTTTAAATATTTTGTTAATTTGTGGATTTGGAACATATTTTATAGAAACAAACTGTGAAAATATCAACAGCGCATTCTGCAAAAAAATATATGCTATTCTTAAAAAACATCTTGTTTCAATTAATCAAAAAATACTTTGTTGCTACATACACAGATTGCATATTTTAACATGCAACATGCATGCCTTTGCAAAACAATGACTTAACATAACTTGAATGTTGTAATCTGATAAGATAGGACTTGAATCAATTAGAAATGAAAGTCGGAAACTCCGAGAACTAATTACATTTCAAAAACTAATTAAAGATAGTTAGTGCACGAGGATAGTCGCCGCGCTGACTCTGTTAAAACTAGTACAAAGTGTGTATATTACTCTTGATAAAAAATTAAGTTAACGCTATTTTTTTCGGGTCTCTCGATTAATTCTTCCGGCCACGTGGATCATTTTCTCAATTGCATGCAAAAAGTTTCTTAGCATCATTTTTCACGCTTATTTCAGGAGGCGAACCACCGGGTACAAGAAGCATCGTCGCTTATTCGTGGGCCCGAAGATTGGCACTCGATTATAGGCCCACCAAGCACTGCGACGGTAATGGAACGCGCGGAATGGCGTTAAACGCGTACGAGCCACCCGGCACGAAGTGGCTCGAGACAATCCCGGGACAGCTCTTCCTGTACAGCGCCCACTTGGATCTCAGAGTCGCCAGTTACCCAAGCATCAGAGTGATTGGCGTTAAACGAGGAGCCCTACCGCCCTCCGCGCTCTTCTGCACTATATGGTGAGCCATTTTTCACAACGCGACGCAACCCGTTACTCGTCTATCTTTGCTCAACATCAAGAAAGGAAAGACGCTCATAAACGCGCGCTAATCGTGTGTCCCCTCTACAAATCACGATGATAAACTGGCGCGTTAAATCAGTATCAATCTTCTTAATGATATAAAGATCCAAAAAAACTTATAATTAAATTTACATTGTTTTTAATATAAAGTTTTTTTTTCTATTTTTTAATTAAAATTTGGAAAATTTGCCACGAAAATGTATTTTAAATTGGAGATTATTTTTTCATTAGCGAGTCATAATTTAAAACTGTTAACGAGAGTTCTTCAAAGTATTTTCAAAATTTCGATATTTTTATAATCGAAAATAACTAGTGGTCTTAACTTTTCATCGAATCGATTAAGGTATAAAACTGCTTCGCGTGCTTGTTTACTCATATTTTCCGCTTCGGTGTTGGAGGTAAAAAAGCGCGTGTTTGTTTGCTGCAAACTTGTAACGAGAATTTATGACGCGGGACATATACAGGCGCATTAATAACAAGCATGTAGACGAAAGTACGCTTTTAATTCATCTCGTACGTTTAATTTCGGCGAAATTAAAAGTTCGTTATCACGTGGAACTTCACCTAGAAGCTGTCTGTTTCGCGCGGCGCGTTTCAAGGGCATGCAATGCAAATCTTAGCAGCGGTGCGAAACGAAGTATATTCGTTTAAAAAAAAATTACACGGTTGGAAGATATAAATGTCTTCCACCATGCGTGCAGATGTTTTCCGCTAGGATACTCAGCGGTTAACCAGCGTGTTCTTTCAATCGGAAACGGTGGATTAAGCGTCTTGGTCTCATTACCTTTCAGGTACCGGGAGCACGGAAGGATACAACGGTTGAGCGTGGAGGCACTCGTCTCGACGATCTGGTTGAACGAATGGGGCGGCACGACGGATAGCTATACCGGTATCCTCATAAACTGCCAATTGCCGTTGGACGGCACGCCGCGCCATCCGTCTCGGGTTTATGTGGGTTCGAGTCCCTGCCACGAGAATGCTAGTCATAGTTTAACGACCTATTCGGAGCTCGACGACGAGTCTTCCGGCCGGAAAAGACGCCGGCAGTTCACCCTGTGCATCAAGGGACTGGACTTCGACGAGGATATATCGCGCAAGCTCGTAGCCTTCGTCGAACTGCACCGCATTTTAGGCGCCAACCTATTCTACTTCTACGTTTTCAACGTGCACGAGAACGTATTGAAAGTGCTGCGCCTGTACGAACGATCGAACGTGGTGCGGTGGTTCGCGCTTGACCTACCGGGCGACCTGCCGAATGAAAAGGCGGCCCGGAGGCGATTTTTCAGCGAGGACATTTGGACAAAGAGGCGGATGGAACTTATTCCGTATAATCACTGCTTCTACGAAAACCTCCATCGATCGGAGTTCGTGGTGCCGATCGACATCGACGAGGCGATCGTGCCGACGCGCCGGAAAACCTGGCACGAGCTGCTGCTGGACGAGCGCGCGAAGCTCGGCAGAAACTTCAAGGATTTCGCGTCCTACTCCGTGCGAAACGCCTACTTTTTCCCCGAGCTGCAGAACAAGAGCCAGACCGATCGGTCGATCGAGAATGAGCTCCGTCGCGCGGCCGAATACCCGGATTACCTAGACACCATGAGAACGGCCAGTATCTCGCCCGAGGGCGACTCGGTGAAAAGCTTCGTCTCCACGAGACGCGCGCTAACGGTGCACAATCACTATGCCCTAACCACGTTAAACCCGTCCACCAGACGGGCTCATCATCTGGACTCGAACGATGTACTCAAGCATCATCACCGGGCGTGCGACAGCCGACATCTCGATTGCGATCTCCTGATGGAGGACGTTAGGATCGACGAGTCCGCCCTGCGCTACGCGGACGAGCTCAAGACAAGGATGAAGATCGCCTTGGCCGATCTCGACGCCCTGCCATAGACCATAGTGATGTTGTAAATAATAAAGCTCCTTTCAAGTATACGTCTCTCCTGTGTCTCTTAAATATATAATAACTCCCCTTGCCATGATTTTTACAACATATTCCTTGCATAACCTCGAATAATTTTATATAATAAAAAAATTGTAGTCAACGTTTCCTCAATATTGACACAAAATGCTGCCGAGAATAATAATTAAAAATATCTAAAATTACATCGCGATCTTTCAAAAAATATACGATGTAATATATGTCGTATATTTTTAAAACATGATATTTCTTTTCTAAATTTCTTCTTTTTCAAAAGTTATATAAAAAAATAGTAGTAAAGACAACAAAAAATTTTAAATTTAAATTAGATAAATTAAAAATAATCAATATTCAGTATTAATTTTCTAGAGTATTATTTTTACTTTGTTATTAATTAATTTTGAAAGAATTAATTCATTTGTGTTTATCTATTGACTGTTTTGAGTTTAAAAGAATTGCAAAAACTTAACAATATGATAAAAGTAAAATAAAATTCTTAATTAATTTTCTTAGAGTCCAATGTACAGAAATAAGCTAAAAGCTATCTATTATCTAAGCTAGCACTCATATCACCCTTCAAAATAAAATAGGTCACCTAGAAAACGATAGTGTCCGGAACCGTCTGCAACGATAAAAATAGTGACATTTTTGGAGCGTGATATTTACAATTATTGCGGTGTGTGTATATGTACACTAGGCAAAATAATCGGAAATCATATTAAAAAAACGGAAACAAACTTGGCATTTTTCAAGCTGAAACAGAATTACTACGATCAAGTATATTAATTGGAAAACGTGCAGAATGAAAAAAAAAAACCGACTTAACGCTTCTCTGTTTTGACGCTTGGACTTATTGCGGCTGGGCCCAATAATTGGAAAGCATTTAAAATGACAAAGGCACGGTTGATGGGCTTCCAAGATTAATGCTTGAGATTGTAATGGTCGACGTACAATAATTGGAAACCATCTAAAACGACAAAAGCAAAGCTGATGGCCTTTCAAGGCGTTGATGCTCGGGGCGTTTAACCCGCTTCCGAAGATTCAAACGCATTTAACGACTAGAATCGCTTTTCACGCCATCGTGGCCTCAACCGTCTGACACGTTTATGAAATGAAACGAAACAAACGTGCTATTTGCACGGAGGATAGCATAGGTAAGATACGAGTCTCTTGAGTTAACGAGTACATACGAGGAGTGAACGACTTTATAAAGCGCCGCATCCATCATGCTCGGTACGTGCGAACGACAGTTTCAATCTCACTAAAGTGGCGGTTCGGTGGTCATCCATTAGCGTTCAGAATCTCGTTCTACACGCGGGTCAAACGCTTCGCGCCTCAAACAGCCCCGAGGAAATTTCTATCGTCGTCATTATCGACTGATTAGATAGCAGTCGCTTGTAGATCGAGTCGCTTGACACGGAACGCGGACGGCGGTACGCGCGAACATGCTTTTCGCGGATAAAAATCATAAAACAAAGATCGCTCTTATGTGTGAGTAGAGACGTAAGATAAATCACAGAGTGGCGGAAGCAAACAAAGAGCTCGGAAGACAACTATGATTCTTTCAGATAAGCTTTACGACTCATATCGAGAGCGTTGCGAGTGCGCGATCAACGTTCTAAACTGAGTTTAATAGATCATAAGGAAGCCGTCGCGCATCCGCGTTCTCTAAAGCGGTCATGAGACACGAAGATAAAAGCAAAGTGCCATTTCATCCGAGAAAGATAAGTAAGTTCTAAAAGACTGCAATTATTTGCGGACATTCGCAGCGCGCTCCTCGAGGTGTCACTTTGTCGATTCTTCAGACGTCGCTATTACGACTTCGAAATGAAGTAACTCGCGAACTTTCAGAGACGCGATGATAGTAGTCATAAGACGGGCGTGGAAAACTTTTCAGTCATACTCTCGAAAGCGTATCGATCCGCTGATATTACTATCGGTGTTTAAGCCGGCGGATTGCGGGCCGAGAAAGACACATCAAGATCGTTCCAATTCCATATAATAATGTGTCGTGCGACGCAAGACAGATTAAGAGCCGATAACGTATCGCTGAAATAGGTCTCGGAAGCTCACTAGCCATCGGCTAAACACGCGGTCTCGCTATCGCAACGTGTAGATCCTGTTTCTAATCTTTCACCCGGTTTAAAATTAGCGTCATCGCGCTGGTCGTCGATCTAAATAAAACGACGTATCCCATATACGTCCATGCTTTTATCAACCATTCGCTCTTCTAATCAGCCTAATGAAAATTTCAAGGTACCATTTTTAGTAATTTTCGGAATTTCTTGTCTGTAAAGATTTTTATTTTATACCTCTTTGTCAAAACATAAAACAGCTTCAACAAATTAATGCGACAAGTTGAACTATTCGTGAGTTACAAAATGCTGCAATAAAAGCATGCTTTTGATCAAAGCTTTTGATACGGTTAAAGTTATATTGTAATATATTAGCGCAATCTAATTATGCAAGTAGCCACTGTAAATTCGCGGTTAGTGCGAATTGTATCATGTAGACTTTACGATCGGTGCAACATGTTGCGAAAGCAGAGCTTTCGACATAAATGAGTTAACACTCTCGCGGCGTGAACAATTTCGGGAATTAAAATTTCAGTTACGAAGTGCCCAATCTATCATAAATCTCATTATATCTTTCAGCCCGTGTGCGTTAACGCGCGTATCTCTTTACTGATTTATATCCCCGGCGTTTGAGTTACAATTTTTTTCCAAGCTGACGAAGTAATCTCGCTAAGTTACGCTTGAGGGGCTCCATTGAGTGCGTCGCTCAAGCCGCGTTAATTCAATTGCGAAATATTTTTCGCGCGACACGATGATAGGCCCATGTTCCACTTAACAAAGTATCTGCGAGGAAGCGTCCGTCTGACAACACGCGATAAAACTCGCACCGGTGTCACTTACAGTCTCCGCCCGCTGGCGAACGCCGGAGCTAAGACCAATCCCGAATTAATGCGGCGATAAATCACGCGAGCTTTAAGAGAGGATGCGTTTAGTGGTGCTGCACGCGCTCATCGCTCGCCTAAATTTATCGGTGTACCACCGAACGCCAGCATCCCTCCCGTCCTCCCCCTCTGCGTATCGCACTGCCGACAACGACAACGACGACAACGGCGACGCCACGACGACGACTTCGCCTCTCCTCTTCGCAAACCTCCGCATGGAATTCGCATATATCATCGGTAATAATGTCTCCGCCAGTCGCGAGCACCTGCTTTCTCGGTGCTTTCCCGGCCACGGCACTCTCGTTCGCCAACTATTCGAGCTATTATTCTTGCAAAAAAAAAAAAACAACGGAGAAGTCATATTATTACAAACGCGCGCCAACGAACAAACGTATATGAGCGCCGACGATGACATCGCCGCCGGGTAATCTCGCGAGCGAGCGAATTTTTACGGCTCTCTCTCCCCGCCCTTCCCCAGCCCGAAAAATTCAGGTCGTTCTTCCCGAGAGATCGGTTCTTTGCCCGCGCCAGTCGCTATATATTATGCCACCCGTTGTTTCCCGTTGAGAAATTCACCCTCCGTTCCCGACATCGCCCCAAGTTGTATCTCGTTGTCTACGACATTCCGCTTCCTTCAGAGATCGTTGCGACCGGCTGATCGCACGTGTTGTAAAGGTAGGTCAGTTCCTGCACGATAAGGGGCGAAGGAAGCACAATCGCGGAAACGATTCTGCTCCGAGAAACAAGCTTGTATCGTCGAAAGGTGCAATTTCCCGTCACGAGACAAATTGGGGCGTTCAACGTCAAAATATTATTTTAAAATGTTATTTTCGTTATTATTTGGTGTAGACTATTTTGAAGTAATGCATTTTAATATTACGGAAGTGAAATTCTAAAGAAAAGCACAACTTTGCAATACTATTTTTAAGTATTTTTAAAATTTATCGAATAAATATTTGTAAGAAATACATAGCAAAATGCTATAAATAATTCTACTAAAAGTTTAAGTAATAGAAATAAAATAAGTTAACCATTGGATGTAAAAGATAAAACGATCTGGCAGCATGTTCTACTTTTTAAAGACTCAACTTTAAAATTTAAAGAAATAAAATACTTAAAACCATTTTTTGCGCTGTTCCTATTCTGTATTTCGTAATTAAACATATTTTCGTAGAATTTTTCGTATGCAAATTTACATCCAAATTTGCAGCACATTTTGCATTAGTTATTGCTCATATTCTGCACGTGAAAACTTCAGAAATCTAATTGTGACTATAAAATATTACGATATTAAAAGCTTGGCTCGATCAAGACCTAAATCTGTAAATTCGCAGGAAGCGTTCTGCTAAATTATGCACGCGCCATAAACTTAGCGCAAATCACCGGTATATGAGCACGCGACACAAGTTGCTAACATTATGACACAAAAAAGCTGGAAAACGCAGCTTTCGTCGGGTATCTGCAAGCATGCGCCCGCCATCCGCTGAAGCAAGAGGGAGAGAGAAAGTGAGAGAGCGCAGAGAGAGGGTTGATCGCGAGTAAGCAGCACGTGCGTAACAGTCATCCTGGCGCATTCGCCAGGACCGCTTGCACCTCGGAAGTTATCTTTCCATCATCGAATGTTACAGATCATATTATATCGCGCAATAAATATTCGCAACGACGTTCACGTCATTTGCGAAAACTTTCAAGCAGCGGCTATAATACATTATTATAACTTTCGTCACACGACGTTAAATTTTCTTTTATTTTTCAACTTTGCCTTAATTAAACTAACAAAACTGTCTGAGAAAAAAATATATGCGAAGAAAAATTCTAATAAAATTTAATTGGTATCTGGAATTGAATTTATTTGAAATACGCTCTAGAGTGAAAATATATAGTGAACATCGTAAACGTTGGTGACACCTATGAAACATGCACCGCGAAAAGTACACGTGTGCGCGTACTCTGCGCCTATACTGCATCGAGAACGCGACTCACACGCAAACTATCTTTCAACTCCACCGACAAGTCTCTTTATCATCTATGGTTTCTGTTATTTTCACATGGATCCGAACTGTCACTTCGGCGAAATGGATCGTCAAACCCTCATCACTTTCGAGAGCAAGAGCTATTTGTTCGCTAAAGGACACGGGAAAGAATTTTATCGGACACATATGAGCGAGCCGTAAATCACGCGGATATCTAGCAAAGCATGACGATAAACAGACAAGACAAAATGAGGCACAGCAGCTCCTGGCCCGATCGTGCGCCGCAAACGGTGAAAATGCGCGTCGATCCCTTATCTCGCGCCTTCACTATCATCCCGACGAGCCGCGAAACAGTATATCGATTGGAACAAACTGCAACGCGATCCAATTGCCTGGAAGAAGTCATCTTTTTAGACCGATGCGCCCCTGGAGGAGTCGCGTCCGTGACGATAAAACGAAGATTAATCGACGGGAAGGCAGTTATAAATAAGAAACCTGCGAATTTCGCGGAAAATTCATCCGAGGCGAATAATGAGGCGAAGAGCGTGAAAGCCGCCCATCGATATTTCATGCCGCGCAGTCTTTCGTCACTCGAGACAAGTGCAGTTCGTCAAAACGCGATTATTATGTTTGAAGAGAATGTCTTTCGCAATCAAACGAGATGCAAATCAGACTTTCTCGTAAGGACCGATGAAGCGAAGAAAACGAGAGATATGCAAAAGACCTTCGCGCCGAGAATTACATCGGACATGGATTTCCAAAAGCTATTTCCGAAAGATCAACACGCGCAAAAGGAGCCCGGGAGTGCATCCGCGCAACTGATAAACGAATTTCCCTCAGTCGCGCAGACCAACGCCTTTGATGTTATAACAAACATTGCGGATGAGAGATTGCGCACGGCCAGCATCGCGCAAGCAAATAACTCGCAAACGCAGGAAGTGGATGGAGCGGGGAAAAATTGTCAGACCACCGCTTCATCCGCGTCCTCCTTGTCGAGGCACACATCATCGCCACCGCACATCAACGTGATCGACTACGACGACTACGTGACATCCGTTTCATTCTCGTCGAAGGCGGATCACGCCTGTTTCAAGTGCGCGTCCGAAGGTGTCCTTCGCTCGCGGATCGATCCCTTTCGTTCTCCCTCGCGATGCAGGAAAAACGACAACGCGCGCGGCATTCGACGCGATGATTCGATCAGACGCGAAAAAAACGGAACGCGCGGCGTGCCTCGCGTCGACGAGCGTCAAAGCAAGGACATCTGGCACGGGGAACGCCTAATCGGTGCGGCAAGAAACGTGGATGGGAAAAAGCCGGAGCAGCAAAAGAGAAACGGCGGCTCGCCGCCGGCGCGACTGCCACTGGACGTCAGGAAGGAAGCTACTCTCAGGCGACATTATTATCCCGAAGGAGGCTGGGGCTACATTATTGTCACATGCTCGATGCTGGTGCATTTCATCGGGTTGGGTTTGCAGCTTGCCGCGCCCGGATGCTGGCATGTGAGCGCCGAGCAGAAGTTTCGACATCCTCCGCTGCATAGCGCAGGTAAAAAAATATCGCCGGATATTCGTCACGTGTTAGTGAATAACTTAAAAGTTATTTACGTAATTAAGAAATATTTCAAATTTGCATGATGCGCCAAATAAATGCAAACTTTTGATACATTCATTCGCACGCTTGTGTAATTAACTTTCTACATAGACGATAACTATATTTTCATGTCAATATCATAGCGCCTGCTATTGGTATGCTCTTCATCACACAATGTGTCAATTTACGAGCTGTATATGCAAATGCAATGCAAATGTATTTATGTAAATTTCGGTTTGCCACAATATTCTATAAACCATGATTTTTCAAATTACAAAACCGCAATGCGACACTGGTTTTTTGAAAAGATATGTTATCAGTATATACATACTTCTATCTAAAATAACATGCTCTATATATTTTTCTAATAAATAATATTATTTGTCACGCGGTAATGTTTCCGTGAAAAATAACAGCGCGCTATTTATCACCATAGAAGATAAATCTCGGCGATGATAGTATCCTAATTCTGACCTGGATATGTCTTCTTACGGATGGTATTTTGATCACGTTTTATGTAACCACACGTATACTCAACCTCGAATCTCGTCGTATCATAAATTATGTTCGCGATATCCAGAAGCACGATGGTCACGGAGCGAACCGAAGGAAAGAGGAACCGAGAACCCCAGGTCATCTTTCTGTCTATCATATCTGTCACTTATGCTCCACGATTCTTAGTGATAGTATAGTATAAACACACAAAACTGTTTACATTATACTATCTCCATTAATCATAAAATATAATAATATCGTTTCTTGAAAAAGATCTTAACGCACAATTACTTTCTAATTTTACAACAAATAAAGATTCTAACAAATTGAATGTTATATAAAATATAATATTGAATGTCATATAAAATATTTCACATCAGCGAGAATTATTATATTGATAGAAAATATCGATATACGTATACAATTCTACGAATTTGCATATTTAATATGCAAATTTTTAGAACATTATTTTTATCGAAGCGCATTTTAATGAGCGTATAATATTTCTTAGCCTCAAGATTCGTTATTCACTAACTCCGCAGAATTCGTTATTGAACGTTTTTATAGTATATCACCGGAAAATTTCTGTTGAATTAAAATTTTTTTTCATTACAGAACAAAAATTGTAATATTAGATGTTGTTCCCTAACAATTTTAAAAATAAATGTAGTTTATATTCTAAAATACAAGTCTGCAAAACTTCGTTAGAAATAAGACAATCATAAAAACATTACCTTAAGTAAAACTATTAAGTTAGTCAAAAGGAAATAATATTAACGTTTCTAAAGAAAACCGGCAACTAAAGTCGGAGTTGGAATCGAAGTTACTTTCACAACTTGGCGCATTCTGATATACATTCTTGCCGCATTTCCCATGGGTCAAGTTCTAAACTAAACGTATTTTGTTCGTTTTGTCATGTTTGGAACGCAAGTTGTCGCAATCGCGCGCGCGTATACAATATCTTCCTTTTAATCGCGAAAGAATAATCAAGTTGTCTCAAATATGACTTTTTTAATTCTAGGATTTTAATAAATTTCATATGCAAATCGCATACATATATGCAAAAAGAATTAAGTAAAAGTTGGAAATAAATAAATTAGAGCAAATAAATTTTTACCATCGAAAATGCATGTAAAAAATAATCTAATTATAAATTTAAAAAATAAATCTATGAAGCGGATTTAAAATTTTGATTAATTTGATAATCTCATAATCAATTTCTAATTTAATTAAAATCTAACATCAACAACTTTTCAACATTTTTCCGTTTTATCACTTATTTCGGAAAAATGGAGACATTCCTCATCTATCTTTTAGTACCTCTGGGATTAATGCATACGAAAAGAGCGTATCGGTCATGTGACATCGTAAAACGTACGTGCGAGAAAAATCAGGACAATGAATTGACAGTCGCAGCGCGTCGCCGTTGCTCACGTACGCTTTCACGCGTGCAAAGCATTGCGATGCACCTGCGAAACATTACTGAATTTCACACACCTGACGACAGTTCTCATCGGAAATCCGTCGATGTAACTAACGTAACTTAATACCCAGTTCAATTTTTTACCACGTTTTACTCTTATACAATAAATTCAGTAACAAAATAAAAACACGATTGAACAACTGGCCGAATTGTTACATCGAAAAACTTGTTTCGCGTTTCTAGTGATGTGAGTGCTGCCATTCAATTGCTAATTGAATTTGATTTCGGAAACAGATGAAAAAGAATAAAAAGATAAACAAAAAATGAAAAAATTATAAATCCATCTCTTATTTAAAAAAAAAAAAAAAAAAAAAAAAAAACTAACACTTTAACCATCATATTGTTTGTGCTTCGTTTAAATGGCGTAAGACGGCGTATCTCAAACATCGTTTTCTTAATATAAAAAACCAACAACTTCGATCGTATGAGTTTAAGAAACGAGCCGCGAAATGGACAAACGATCTGCATCGGCAAGCCCACCTTGCGAGATAGTCGCTTATCGTAAACGTCGTCACTCTTACAGCGCGGCCATGAGCGATGAGAATTTGTTTGATGATGACGACAAACCTGAGGAAGAGCAATCCTACTCTCATCGTGACGGTGCAATGCGAGCGCATTGCTGCCGGCAACGCGAATACAGCGCGCAGAAAGCACCCAGCCTAGAGTCTGAGACCCGCTGGTCGGCCGAGAGTCTCGTATTGAAGCGACCGCTGACGAGGGAGTCTTCCGGCGACATCGCGAAGTCATGGAGCGAGATCGAGATCCCAGAGTTACTGCTGGCGCATCCCGAGATACTATCGCGCATGATGCGGTGCCGTTGCTTCGTGGCGCAATTCTCCGCCTGCCGCTGCGCCCAGTGTCAGTATCAACGCCGGAAGATTTCGTCGGCATCCTCCTGCTCCGCCAGGGAACCCGTGCCCAACGGCGCGAGGCGGAAGGACTCCGGAAATTCCGTTTCGACCTGCCAGAGCTTCCTGCCGCCGTCCTCCGGCAGGAACTCGGCCGGCAGCCTCTACCGCTACTACGCCGACGTCGGCGACAACGGGACGACGATTCAGCGTCGGCACTCGATCGCCGTCGGATCGATCCCGCATCACCGCTACACGGAGCAAACGCACTCGCTGCGCGGCCGCAAGATCGGCCGCGCAGATAATCGCAGGCTCTCTGAACAGCCGCTCGTCGAAGATGAGATCGGAAACTACGAAAGTACCATCGGCGCCGCGAGTGCCGCAAAACCAATCATCGCCAACAAAACCCATCCGCTGGCGTATCCGAGGGCGACAATCCGCGCGGCGCGATCGGTCGTCCCGTTTCGCAGGAGTTCCGCGACCGCCGATACTAAAATGCCGAAGGATAACGAATCTCGGTTCGCTGACAAATCGTTCGATGCGCGCCTCGCCGCCGACGGAAAAAATGCCGAAGCGAACGCCGATGTTGCTTTTATCGCCCGTAAAAGCAGCGCCATTCCGATCACGCCTAAGATGATGAGAAGGCGATTCTCCGAACAACTAATACTCGAGGGAGGTCTTGGTAGTGCGGGCGAATCCGAGGATTTGGTTGATCAACCCGAGAACGCGGAGAATGAGGATGAATCCTTGACCGCGTTAATCGCTTGGAAGAAAATCACACTCAGAAAGCATTACTACCCAGAAGGCGGCTGGGGATACGTTATTGTCATAATAACGATCCTCGTGCATCTAATCTCTCATGGATTACAGCTGGCATCTGGCTTACTGATGAGCCCGGCGATGACGCAATTCGGACAAACGGTCGAAAATTCAGGTACAAACGTCATTGATTCGTTTAAAATTCGCGATATACGTCGTAATTTCATAATAATAAAGAACGCGTGCTTTGTAAAAATATCTTTTCCCGCACTCTTATGCACTAAATATGCTTGTTTGTTTCTCATCTTACGTTGACGTTAAACGCGATTCGCTCATTAAGGAAAACAATAGCCAGAATCAGGCCGCTGCACTTGGCGTCAAATGTGCCGTGAGAATGTAAGCCATAAATTATGCATCAGGGTTAATTCGCGTCGCATGCTTTTTCCCTCCAATCGCAAAAAAAATTAATAACGACTGTACTTCGCCGGAGTCTTAACAACAAGACCTACGAGAAATTTACGACTTCCGTAAATTACAAATAACACGATAAGAGTGGCCTGACTACGTTTTCCGCGTCGTAATAAGTAAATCTAATCGGGACAACGTGCGCGCGCGATATCGGGAGAGAAGTGACCTCTTCTCTACGAAAACTAATCAATCACAGTTGAGTGAGTAATTGAGACGCGGTGAATATACACGTTACGCTATCGTTAATATGCAAATGCGCAAGATCCGCCGCCCATGTCGATTAATATCGGAATACGTCTGCGGCTTGTGTCTTGACAACTCTGCAAAACTTTCAGCAATCTTCAGAAAAGATGTCTCGAGGGCCAAGACACGCGCCGTGTAACCGATTCGATACACCTGCAGCAACTGTCGTCTGAGCGGTACTCGCCTACCGTAAATTACGCTAGCGCAGCGCTGCGCAAATTTCCCTCTATCTTACGATCAGCAATATGGAGCATGCGTGCTCGTACATCTACGCGAGGTGTAATGAATAACACGGACGCGAATAAGCCCGTTACGTCGCTGATTAGATTAGCTACAACATATCAGAATGTTTATTAATCTAAATATTTAAAACAACATTACTACGTTGCAGATCTAAGATATGGCAAAATTAATTAAAATCGCAATTCTATCAATGGATAGTCGCATCTACCAGCATAACGACTTTTCATTTATGACGTTATGGAGAATAAATTAGTGCGAACTATTTACTTGAACATTATTCATTAAATATTTTCTGTTTCTTCATATAGTTTTCTCTCTTTACAATTCGCATCTGTATCATATTTTTAACCTTTTATTTATTCATAAAAAATCATTATTTCTTTAGCAATTAATATTTTGATTAATGGAATTGTTCA